ATAGGAATGCCAAGCAGGGTCACTGGACCCTCACCTGAGTGTCCAGCCACTCTTCCCAGCCAACTAGTCCAGCCTTGGAAGACAAAAGGAAAATGAGGAGGAACCCAACAGAGGGATGCTTTTGGAAGCCCTTGTCAAGAAACTCCAATGGACACTCAAATGAACATTTGAAATTGTTCTGGTCTGACTTTTTCTAGTTCCCTGTCTGGAACTTGTGATGCTAATTACTCTTGTCTTTACTTCTCCTTCACATCTCCTATTCAAGATTCAAGGACTTTCTTTTCCCCCTAGAGATGAGTTATGCAATTTGGGAGTCTTTTAGATAGACCCACTGAAGGGGTATTCTAACTGCCTCACTTTGCGTCCCTGTTCAGCATGAAAGAAGCCAAAGTGGTCTGCGGCCTGATTCCCTATCCACAAGCTCGGTAACCTCTTCAGAGGATGGCATGAGAAGAATAGGAGGTAGGAATTGGCTAGGCAGTTAAGGTAAAAAGACCCCAAAGAAAAGTAGCCAGTTTCTTGGCTAAAACTCACAATGTCCTTGGGCCTCTTAGCAACATACTCCGTTCCAAAGGTCAAAACTGTCAAAAGTATTTGGGAACTTTTATATAATCCTTAAGAGATTTTAGGGTTCCCTCTTCAGAGGGGGGAATATTAGAGTAGCCAAAAGCCCCATAAAAATAAAAAAATAAAAGAAGACGAGAGAGTACATGAAGTTATCAGAAAACAGTGATGGGGAGATATGGGAGGAGTTGAAGGGGAGGGTGTGGGCGTGGATTTGATCAAAACACCTTATGTGCATGTATGAAACCAAATGCTGGTGAGGACATGTAGAAAGGGGAACACTCATTCACTGCTGGTGGGATTGCAGACTCATGTAGGCTCTATGGAAAACATTGTGGAGAATTCTTAATAAACTAAAAATGAACCTACCATATGACCCGGTTATACCACTCCTTGGCATATACCCAAAGGACTCATCCTATTGTAGAGACACTTGTACAACCATGTTTGTTGTTGCTCTTTTCACAATAGCTAAGAGATGGAAGCAACCTAAGTGTCCCTCAACTGATGAAAATGTGGTATATTTACACAATGGAGTTCTATTCAGCAGTAAAGAATGAAAATGAAATTGCATGTAAATGGATGGATCTAGAAACTGTTATACTAAGTGAAGTAACACAGACTCAGAAAAACACATGATGAATGTTCTCCCTCATATGTGGATCTTAGCACCAAATCCTTTTAAATTCCAGGTCCTTTTAATAAGATGATGCTATACAGCAGACCCTTCTGCATGAAATAACTACTATCATCACTACTTTGGCTGAGCCTGATCACTAAACCTAGTCACAATTGGGCTTGTTGACGTTGTGCTCATTCATTAAAGGAGTGTCAAGCAGGGTCAGTGGACCCTCACCTGAGTATCCAGCCACTCTTCCCGGACAACTAGTCCAGCCTTGGACAACATGGAAGAAGCCAGAGTGGTCTGCGTCCCTATTTCCTATTGGCAATTTGGGTAACCCCTTCAGAGGATGGCATGATAAGAATAGGAGATAGGAATTGGCTAGACAGTCAGGGTAAAAAGACCCCAAAGAAATGTAGCCAGTTTCTGTGCTAAAAGTCAAAATGTCCTTGGGCCTGTTAGCAACATACTTTGTTCCGAAGGCCAAAAATGTCAAAAGTATTTGGGAGCTTGTATCTAATCCTTAAAAGAGTTTAGGGTTACCTCTTCGGAGGGGGAGAATGTTGGAGGGGAGGGAGTTGGCATGCATTTGATCAAAACATCTTATATGCATGCATGAAATTCTCAATAAAGCTTTTTGTAAAAGTTAAAAAAAAAACAATAAAAAATTAGTGTGCTGTAAGTGGCCACCGTTGTATCCCTGGCACGCAGTGGATGCCCAGAAAGCATACCTTGAATTGCTGCATAGAAACAGAACATGCATAGATGGGTGAATTTAAGAATGACTTAGCCAAGAATTTGAACTAATGCCTCTTGTCTTGTTTTGCACACTCACTTTGTCTGGAGCCCCATGAAATATGACACTTGCTTTCAAAGATCTTGCTATCTAGATGAAGAAGAAATATCATTTGGACAATCATTTTCCTAAATGATGCAGCATTTATATGACCAAATGGTATAGCATTTTTATGATTGGGTTGAATAAGAGGTGTAGTCAGTTTAGCGTCTTAAAACTGGACCTTTGAACTTGGCTTTGCAGGAGGGGTAGATCTTTCAACCTGTGATCACTCATTGACTAGGTCAGTGGTTCTCGGTGGAGTGTTATCAGAATCACCTGGGAAACTTGTGGAACTACAGGCTTCTGAGCACATTCCAATCGTGCTTCATTCAGTTAGGTTTGCGATGAGGGCCCAAAATCCACCTAACGAATTCAGCCAGTTGGGGACTTGTAGTGAGAACCACTGTAGTGAGTTGAATGGGATCATGAAGGTTTCTGATGTCATGCTAAGGAGTTTAGACATTTTCTTGGTCATTGATGATAAGGAAGTTAACTCATCAGATCTGTGTAGTAAAAAGTTCTATCTGGTGGCAACTTCTGAGAAGCAACTGGAATGGCTAAGCCTCCTCATGGAGACCTCCTAGGAGCCAGTGAAGCACGAGATGAAAGAAGAGGGCCCAGCTGTCCACAATGAGGAACAGGGATGGGGCAGAAAGGCTGGAAGAGAGGACTGAGTGCTCGAGGGTCTACAAGATGGAGAGGGAAGCACTGGGGTGATCATAGATTTTCAGCTTCACAGACCAACTACGGAGACATTCCGTTATCAAAAGCTCTACATTTGAAACAAGTTTTCACATTTTAAATAACAAAACTCCCCAAATGTCTTTATTTACAGAGGGGTAACTAAGAGGTTATAGGAACACACGGCTTAGAGGCCTAGAAAGTCTGAGCTTAAATCCTGTAGCAAGTAATTCTAATGAATCTCACCTCCCTGACAAGCTTAACTTTGTCACCTCAGCCAGTGCTGAGACAATTGTAAACCATGCTACGATGGCTGGTTTTAATTGTCTATTTGGCACAACCCAGAATCATTGGGGAAGAGAGGCTCCATATGAGATTATTTAACTCAAGTTGGCCTGTGGGGCTCGTCTGTGAGGAATTATCTTGATTCCGTCATTGATGCGGGAAGATTCTCCCAAGGTGGATGGTACCATTCCCTGCACAGGGGTTCCTGGGCTGTATGATGGGAGAAAACAAGCTCAGCATAAGCATCCGTGTTTCAATGTGATCCTTTCTCCTTCTTGACTATGGATGCAGTGTGACCAGTTATCTCAAGCTCCCACCTCTGTGACTTCCTCAAGGTGATGGTCTGTAACCTGGAACTTCAAGTTGAAATAAACCCTTTCTCTTCTAAGCTGTTTCTGTCAGTATTTTTTAATTATGGCATTGGGAACGAAACTGAGACCCACGCCCCACTGTGTGTGCTGCCCGCTGTGCCCACAGCTTCCCCTCTACTTACCAAGTACGTCCATTTTTTCTTTGTCAAGCACCAGGATGTATTCATAAGTGCCACCCATGGATCCAGAGGTGATATAATGGGTGCCATAGTCATTGATGAACTTGGTATACAGGCCATAGTTGAACTGCTCTGGAAGCTCCATTAATGACTGGAGCATGCCTTCGTCCAACACAATGCCATGCCTTCTCATTTTAAAATGTGCAGTCTGTATCTTTGTGAAAACTCTCATGAAGCCATATTTCTTCCATCAGCATCCAAATGAAGCAAAATCACAACAAAAGCATATAAGGTCAGGTCAACACTCAGTATAAGAAGAAAATACAAGATCATGAACACATGCAATGAAATGCTGTTAGGTTTTACAGGGATGTATTAGATACCAATACGTGGAAGATGTCCCCCATGCTTTCCCCGCTGGTTCACTGCCTCACCCAGGTCACACTCATAGCAGCTCCCTCCTGGCTTAGTTCCTACCTCTATTCTGCCCCAGTCCACTGACTCACCCCCAAGCCTCCTCAGCTCTAATCAAAGTGCTCCACTGTTCAGCCTCACCTGTATGCATACTGTATCCATTAACAACCAAGCAAAGAACATCTTAATGACACAGTAACTTGCCAACTAATGTAATATGTTGAACAAATATTGATTATTCCCAAAGTTGCATGCATTATGATAGGTGCAGAGGACAGCGTCTTCAATGAAATGGACCTCTGCTGTCATGGACCTCACGTTCTGGAGGCAATCTCCTACTATTAAATAATAAGGAAAAGTGAGAGTCTCATAGATAGCTGTGAGGGCTATTGGATAAGTTTAGATGGTCATTTCTAGGAATTATTTCCAGATAATAAAGACCTTGATTCAAAGGGGTTATGAAAGTTTTAGGAAGCCACTTGCTTTAGAAAAGTCCACATTTTCATGTTATAGCCAGAACTCAGGGCAATACTTTTCAGAACAACAGCTAATTTGTGCAAAGTTCCTGAATTCCATTTATGCTTATAAATTAAATCTCTTAACTGTGTTTTCATCATCCACGCTAACTTTTTGAACCCTAATTAGACCCATGGTCTTGGTATCAATGTTGGTGAAGTGCTGATGAATTAATTTCTAGTAAATTTAGTAACTATTTCTCTGACCCATGATAAAGTCCTTGCTATGTTAGTTAGTTCCCTCCCACTCTCAAGTTTGAGTCAGGTGTTCTCTCCTCTCTAAGCCTTTGTATACACTGATGGCCATGCCTAACACATTGCTATGGTTTGGATGTGAAATGTCTATATGTTAAAGGCATGCTCCTCTTAGCTGCAGGGGGAACCCTGCAGAGGTGACAACAACTGGGAAGTCCTTAGGTCATTGGGGGCATGCCCTTGAAGGAGTTTGTGGGACTCTGGCTCCTTCCGAAGTCGTCCTGCCTCGTGATGTGAGTAGTTTGTTTCACTAGACCTTTCCAGTCATTGCCCCCTGGAATTCCCGACCAGAGATCCAAAGGAATGAGTCTGCTCTATCTTGCAATGGAGCCTCCTCCAGAGCTATATGCTAATTAAGTGTCTCTCTTATAAGCAGTTATCTCAGGTGTTCCACTACAGTGACAGAAAGCTGACCCTCTGTCAATGTCTGTCTCCCTTTGTCTGGACAACTTGTGTTGGTTTTTAAATCTCAGCTTAAATGGATGTCCCCTCCTCAGAGAAGCCTCTCTTGACCCCTCAGTATAATAGGTACAAATGTTCGATAAATAAACTTCCTTATCTACTTGAGAAAATAAGGCTTGTTTTGGAAATGTTCCAAGTCAAATTTAGAGGGTCTGACTCATTTTCTTTAACCACTATTCTGTGCACTTCCCTGCAGCATCCAGGTAACCGTGCAAAGAATTGGAGGAGGAGCAAAGTGATAAGAGTTCTAGTCCTATGGTTCAATTTTATTCCCTTTGTGATGATTCTTTGTGCAAAAGCATAATAAGAAATACAAACATGATCACCACTGATAAGACATTTCCAATTACACAGCAAATTAAGGTTCAATTACTACTGTACTTTTTAATGCAATTAAGGTAATATGTGTTCAGTGTAGATTATAGAATACTGTGAGACACAACCATTATGTTTTAATACCTTCTCATTATACTTGCTCAACTTATTCAGGAAGGACGATTCATCGGACTGGGCTATACCCCCAACCAATTTTACAGAACTGCCTGCTGGTCCTATACCAAGGGTTATGGCATTGGACATATACCTCTCGTTTTTCATTTTAGAAAGAAGGTCATTTGCATCACTGTAAAACTCTGAGGAGATAACAGTGTCTGCAAGAGCCTAAAGAGAGAAAAATGGATGTTAGATTTGCGTACTTAGAGCTAACTTTCAACTCATACTACTAACAAAGTCTTTGTGTTATAAGCTATCAGAAATTTCAGAGTGGCACAATTCTTTTCAAAGGTTAGTCTGTGCATCAGATTGATGCTTATTAAATTACAGAAAACCCAGCAATGTGACGTAGTGTTTAGTAGTACTTCTAAAATATTTATTCACATGCACATTTGCTTGCTGATAAAATGTTTTATTTTCCAAGCATGGCTTGCTTTGGGGTTGGCTCATTTTTTTTCTGGAGGGGGGCTGCTTGCTTGTACTATGGCAGCATTCAGAAAGTCATGAATGATCATTGACCTCAGGGAAAGGGGCCAAGAAAGCCATGAAGATACTGATAATATCAGCAAATGATACTCTTTAGGACTGGCCACAAATAGTTGGTTCAATTCGGTTGCATTTCCCAACTGACTTGAGCCAACACAAGGTTTGATTCTTTGAGTCATAGAAATGCACCTTCAGAGCATGAGTAGTTTGTGCTGGAATGGAGCCTCCATCAACATGAGTCTCCAAGGGCCAGTGATGCTTGAAGTTCCTTTACCATCCAAGGATGGACAGGTAGGATTTGTATCATGGCTTCTAACCATAAAGACTCCAGAACCTGTAACCACAAATAGACTAGCCCATCTCCCCTGACACAGAGACCTCAGATCTTCCTTACAGATAGGAAAATGGTATTGCTTTTGTCTTTCGGCTTGGCTCAGTACACGACTGATACCTAGTAGACAGCAACCATAGAAGTGGAGAACAAACTCCTCAGAAACAGACCCCACAAGGCTATCATTACCTTCTGTCAATACATTTCTCTTGAACAATATGGGAGTGGGGAGGATGTGCCAAGATACTTGTTCATCATCCTGCCTTGTCATCTGCCGATGTGGATATAATATGTGCAGATCTAATGTACGTGCATCTGTACACCCATTGTACTATGTCCACTCTTCTAAGTGATGCATAGCCTGGTCTTAGTTTAGACAGATTCTGGATGGGAATCTTGTATCTGCAACAACACAGCTTTGAGACTGACTCTTCCTTTTTAATATCTGAAAGGGACAATGTCAATGTGTATCTGTTTTGTTGCTGTAAAGATTAGGTGGAAAATTTTAGGTGGAAGATCTGGCACATGGTAATTCAGAGATGTTTGCTGTATAGACACCTCACCCATAGGTTGCTGGTAGGAAAGGAGTGGCCTTGAGCAGGCTCTGAATCTTGTGAGCTCTTTGGTGCTCTGAGGGACCAGGAGATCAAAGAGTTTTAGAGTAGTGACACAGACCATCATCAGTTTGTAAGAACTTTTGAAAATAACACTTTTTAAAGCAACTCGTATAAAAAATATAAGAAAATGATCAATGAGAGCTGCTCTCGGTGAAGCAGGGGCCCAGGTCTCAGAACCTACCCATCTGTGTCCTCTCCACATTACAGGTTGGAAGAGTAGCCCAGAGAGGAGCAGTGCATATGCTGTTCACAGCTGCACAGTTATAGTCTAACAGAGTTACATCGTCACATCTTAGAATAGGGCTGGAGAAGATCTAGGTCTATTTTATTGAAAATGAAGCCAAGATTGAGCAGGTGGGTCATCACATTCATGTTATGACTCTCCCACCCTCACCTCTCAGTACCCTCAACACTGACTATGTGTAGGTCAGGTGTGAAAGGACCTCCAGCCCTGTGGAAAACAAAAGCTTCCAGAACAAGCTATCTCCACCAACAGGCCACCCCCTGTACCTCATCCTACACTGTTTCCACTCAGACTTACTTCAAAATGGTACTTCAGGAAGTTGTAGGGCTTCCGGAAGTACTTCTCATCATCCCCGTAGTAGAGGCGCTCACAGGTGGGGTCATACCGGAGCTCCCGCCAGTCCCCGTTGTACACCACCTCACACTGGCCCCCATAATACTTGGCATCATACACACTCTGGGTTTCTTCCTGGGTCAGGATATTGTACCTAAATTGGAAAGACAGATTCTGGAAGAGAGTTTTACAAAGGCAAAGATAATATAACATGTCATCCTGCCAAACATGTAGCTGGGAGGGTGAGTGGTGTTTTCTCCAACTGTGTTTGTTGGAGCCCTGTGAAGCCCTTGAGGGGCATAGAGGGAGACCAGCCAACATCAGGAGACTGAGTGGGCTGGGCCTGGCCCCAGGTGGCCTTTAACCAGAGCATCTGGACCAATGTTTTTAAAGGATGCCTCTAACTAGTTGTTAAGTTGGAGAGGAATGAGTAGAATTATTAAGTGTCCAAGCATAGGCAAATCATCTCATGTCTTTGCCTCAGTTTAATTATTTGTTAAAAGCAATTAGTAACAGTACCATCCTCCTAGAGTGGAAGAGGTAACACATATAAAAGAATCATAGTCAGGCTTGGCATATATTAAGCACTGAATAGATATTGCTATTATTATTTCAGAAAAGGGCTCTGTTGCTAAAAAGTGGGCTTACATAGCAATATTGTATAAGGCTCCCTGCTACATTAAGACCCTAATCCTCAGAAAGGTCATTGTCTTTGAAGGAGACTGAGATGTCAAATATGTATAGTATGAGCATCAGGAAGACTCCTGGGAAATTTTCAACTCTGCCACTTCTTTGTAACTGACTGTGACTTTGTTAGCATAACATACATGCTAGGAAGAGCGGACAATGAAAGCCTCTACAGTTATTTCTTCTGTTTCCCAAACTTCTATGTAGCCTTTGAGACCTAGTTCAAAGTAGCCCCCACCACATGGCCTTCTTTGAATGCTCTGGATACAGAACCTTCCTCGTATCCAGTACATACCTTTGGCATGGCATTATCATGACAGTTTATGTCCTCTATGATGGGTACAAAGGCAGAAAAAGAACCGAGGATAAACTGTGACTATATCCTACCTCAAAGAACAAATGAATAACTACAGAGCACCTGATGTGCAGTAGAAATTCAGGGCATGGTAACTAACTTCCGTTTGCTCTTCCTTTCTCCACCTCTTTCCTCTTATTAGTAGGAGTGATGTAATAACTCTGATGAATTGAATATATGCTAAACTAGATATTTAGCATACAATAACTCTCAACCTCATGACAGTTTTGAAAATGTAGAAATTGAAGCTTAAAAAAATTAAATAATTTGCCTATATCACAGTTGGATTTTTCTCTCAGATGTTTTTGACTGTAAAATCTGGCTTCCGTACTTACTTCTGCCCTGTAGTTTCTACCCCCTGCCCACTGAGCATGTTTCTGCCTGTAGCTTAAATACAGCCTCTGAAACAGACCAAACAAATACTCAAAGCAACAGTGGGCCTCAAAAATCATACTGTAACCACTAAGCCTACAAACATCTGAAAAAAACCAAAAAGAAACAAACAAACAAACAAAAACAGTTGTAAAAGCCCCAGTAAAAATGAAAGGGTATAATTAGAATTCCGTTTTTTAGAAATCTAATCACACATATGTACAAGAAAACCCCATATGTGGACAAGGATATTCATTGCAATAGCATTATAAGAAGGAAAATGTGAATTATGGTTTGGATGTAAAACGTCCCCCATAGGCTCATGTGTTTGAATGTTTGGTCCCCAGGCTCATGGCACTTTTTAGGAGGCTGTGGAACCTTTGGAGGTGAGGCCTATCTGGAGAAAGTGAGTCTCAGGGGTGTAGGCCTTGAGGTTTGTAGGCCCCTTCCTGTTTCCTGATCCATGGAGAGCTGAGCAAGCTGCCCCCTGATCTTGCACCACAGCTGTGTGCTACTCCTGCTGCCCGCCATGCCATCCACAAATAATGAACTGCACCTCAGACTGTGAACCAGAATAAGTGGTTCTTCCTGTAAGTTGCTTCTTGTTGGGTGCTTGGTTGCAGCAATGAGGAAAGTAACTAACGCTGATTTCATTTCAACAGAAAAGCTGTAGTCTGAGAATTGACTCAAGCAATGACAAAGCAGAGGGTCAAGCCTCTGTCTCACCCCAAAGTCCGTTTTATTTTTACTGAGTCACAGTGCATAGCAGATTGTGAGCATAGCTGTTGGAAAGAGCAGTTGCCTCAGGGAAGATCTGCCTTTGGGGAACATCTGTGTAGGCTTCATGGAAGATAGAACCATAAATGGGCCTTGGAAATGAAATTGGGGTTAGAGGAGAGATGTGATAGTGTGAGGAGGAGTGAAAGGCGAGGAGGGTCCTCAGGTTGAAAAGGGAATGTTACATTATCTACTACACAAGCTATCCTAGGGGACAAGTGTTCAGAGGAACTGTCTAGAACAGGCCTAGTCAGTCACCAAAGCTGATGCTCATGATGGGATTAAACAATCATTTGCCACTCCTAAACTCCCAGAAAGCAGATACTCACCCCAAGGCTGCCCTCTCTGATCCTGGGATAGGTTCATACTGGTGACAGTCATCGTGGGTGGCCCTGACATCCTCACAGTTGTCCTCATCGGAGCCATCAAGGCAGTCTTTGTCTCCATTGCATACCAGGTGGCGTTTCAGGCAGCGACCTGAGAAAGACCAAGCTGGGGGTATTTCCTAGACCACGTTCCCCATGATGCGCATCTGGAGTCATGAGCCTTTCAGCCTGTGCAGTGGCCCCTCATGTTGTCCCGTTCTGTCTGCCCTGTCCCTTCCGTCCTTGATAGCTCCCCACGGTCCCCTCAGGCCAGGCCTGCCAAATTCTCCCTCCCTACATCCAAAGTCCCCTGTAATCTTTCTAAAATGTCAGTCTGCCCATGTCAGCCCCTTGATCTGAATCTGCCAGGGGCTCCCATCCTTCCAAATGTCCCCGAATTCTCATGTTTTTGCACATTCTCCTGGAACCGAAGTCCAGTCCCAATTCAAATGCCATTTCCAGGGCTGTCATGAGTTCCCAAAGCATATTCAGGTACTTCCTGTTGGAGAATCCCGCAGAACCCATGCACAAGACCCATTGGCTACCCCATTATATTATAATTGATCTCTTGTAAGTCTCTCTTCAAAAATGACTAGGAATCCCTCAAGGTCAGGTACATTGTTTTTCATCTCCATATGAACAGCAGGTAACACTACCTGACCCATAACTTGTAATTAGTAAATGTGTGTTTAATGAATATTACCCATTTATTAATTATGAGTTGCACCTTTTCTAAATTAATCAAAAACATTCCTTCAAACGTGAATCCAAATTATGTGGGCTGGGGCTGCAGAGATGGCTCGGTGGTTAAGAATAGGTACTGCCCTTGCAGAGGACCTGAGTTCAGTTCCCAGCACCTACCCACGTCAGGCAGCTAACAATTACCTAAACTCCAGCTCCAGGAGATCCAACATCTTTTGATCTCGGGGGGCATCTGCCTTCAAACATGTACATACCATACACAGACCAGATATATGCATCATGTAAGAAAATAAAATAAATCTTTTTTAAAATTATATGGGCTGGTGGCTTGTCTTAAAATGCAGATTCCTGGACCCTGTCCCAAACCTTCAATGGTTAAAAGTTTGCATTTTAGCAGACTCTCTGGTACTTGCTTTGTGTTACATTTGAAGGGCACAGCTGTTGATGTACTGGGGTGCTACTCACCTGTCTCCTTACACTGGAAATCCTGTCCACACTGTGCTTGCCTTAGACAAGGTGTGGGGGTGGAACAGCTGGCCTCATCCCAAACATCACCACTGCAGATGGTTCCCCCAAACTTGCTTGGCTGGAGGAGGCTCCGATGTCGGTACTAAATCAAATTTTGAACCAGACATAGCCTTGTCAATCAATCAACCAAGATTTGTACAGGCAGGTCTCAGCTCAACATAAGGAACAACGGTCTCATGATTGTGAGTTGCTTACAGAGCTGTCTTATGAGGGGACAAATGAGTATGCAGAGTAATGTTCACCCAGAGGTGGCGCAGTCTCCAGCTTGAATTTTGAATAAAGACACCAAGAATCACATGAAATACTGGGATAGAGGTATTTTGAAGGTCTTTTTTTGCTAGCAAGGATCTCTGTTCCCACATTCAAGTGGTTAGTAAGTGTTCGTCTTTCAAGTTTCATGGTTTCCCTCCTTTGGAACACTTCCTTAACTTGGTCATATCCTCAAGCCCACCTTCTTCCTTAGCACTTGTCATGTATGGTTGGATGAGGCATCCATTCACCTATTTGTCTGTCCCATCAGCCTGTGAGCATTTTGCCTTGGGGCTGGAGGCACTGAATGTTTCATACATTCAGATTTGACTTCCAGGCAGGTATACTTTCAGAGAACATTGCTTTTCCCTCACAGCATTTCTTCTGGTGATGGCATCTTTTCTTCCCTTGAGATGTGTTTTCTATGTTTCTGGTGAGGTTGACCTCTCCCTCTCTCCCCGCACCAGACACGCCGGTAGATGGATACTGTGCTGGATAGCTTTAGTGTCAGCTTGACACACCTGGGTTGAGGGATCCTCAGTTGGGGAATTGCCTCTATTGGACTGGCCTGTAGCCATGTCTGTGGGGAATTTTCTTGATTATTGAGTATTGTGTGAGGGCCTAGCCCACTGTGGGTGGTGTCACCCCTGGGCAGGTGGGCCTGTGTGAAAGCAGAAAGCAGGCTGAGCAGGGGCCAGGGGAGCAAGTCAGTAATCAGAGTTCTCCATGGCCTGTACTCCAGCTCCTGTCTCCAGGTTCTTGCCCTGAGTTCCTATCTTGGTCTCCCTAATGAACTGTGACCTGGGAGATGTAAGCTGAATAAACCCTTTCCTCCCCAAGTTGGTACTGGTCAGAGTGTTTTGTCACAGCAATGGAGAACAAACGAGGACAGATACAAACCAGAGCCCGATGACCAGAGCATCGCATTTGCCTGTTTTGATAACTGCTTCAGTGATTGGCCATGATGCAATCATAATTCTTTCTGGTGATTTTTTTTAGGGGGGGTGGCATTTCTGGAAATTAGGGGCATTAAATGGCTAGCTACCTACTGACAGACTGACCACCATGATGACAGTGGTGATGGGAGCCAACACTGACTGAGTTTGCACTATCAGCCGTACACTGTATCTTAATCTTATTTACTCCACAAGTTTATGGGACTAAGTATTCATGAATCCCAGCTTAAACACAGTTGGAATTCCAATTACCCAGCAACTATATCGGCATTACTTGGTAAACTTTTTAACATCTCTGATCCTCAACTTCCCTTTTCGAAAATTTATTTATTATTTATTTGTTTGTTTATTTATTTTTTTATTTTGTGTGTATCTGTATATTTGTGTGTCATGTGTGTGCAGGTGCCCTGGAAGGTCAGAAGAGGGTATCAGATCCCCTAAGAGCGAGAGTTGTAGATCACCCAATGTGGGTCCTGGGAACCGAACTCCAACCCTCTGTAAGAACAGCAAGTGCTGTTGAGCATTGCGCCATCTCTCCAGCCCCAGGATCCTCAGTTTTCCTGTTTATAACATGTAATGTGCCTGAGAATGTTGCTGTGATTAGTGATAATACAGTGAAAAAACTGGCACTGTAACTGGACAAAGTGGCATCTGCCTGCAGCCTCAGGAGGTCGAGGAGGTTGCAGAGGAAGGATCATGAGTTGGAGAATGGTCTGGGCATAAAAGAAGTGAAATGAAAAGAAAAAAATTGGAGCTCAGTTCTTACTGGTTCCTTGTGTGACTCAGTAATAATAGTTATCAATTCTGTCATCATTCTGTATCAGCCACTGGACTGTTCCAGAAGCCGTTGGATTAGGTGACCTCTACTCTCACTTATGAATCTCTGATACAGTTCAGGGGGAGGCAGTGGGGTGCAGTGGCCAGCCTCTCAAGGTTTTTGGAGTCAGGCTGGCCCAGGTTTAAATCTCTTCCCTTTCTCAGTGGGAAACTGACCGCCCCACAGTGGGTGATAGCACCTGTCTCTTCCCCTTGTCTGTGAAAGTCAAACTAGACAATGTATTTATGTAAAGCATTACTGCAGTGCCTGGGACACAGAAAGCGTTGGATAGATGGTGACTATCAACGCCATTACCATCCCGCACGTAGTTTCTGTACTTGGAACAATGCTTCAGGTTCATTTCCACTGGTCCCTGTTTACTAGGTTGCTGTCAAATAACGGAGACACTGAGTTGTAGGCGGGCTAGTGCCAATGCTCCCCCAGGGACTTCTCCGTGCTTGCTGTCTGTGGTTTGTGTCATTAAAGCATAATTTTCTTTTCTATCTAGTATATAATGTTTCTTTCTAGAAATGAACATCTTTGTCTGGGTGACTTTGAGAGGAAGAAACATATTAATAAAGAGAAACTGAGGTGGTCTTTTACTTAAATAATTAACAGGGTTTAATTATCTTAGGTATTACTTTATAGGCACATATTTCTTTCTGAGTCTTTAAGGAAGTAATTAAATTCTGATTTAAATTGTAAGAGATTCCCCCGTGCAATCTGCTACCTAAACTGAAACATGAGAATTTAAAAAAAAGGCAGGTTCAGGATATACAATTGGTACAGTAACGTCCACCAAAAAAAATGTAACTCCAAATCTGCAGAAGTTGGTAGTTTGCCCTTATTTGGAAAACATTTTGCAGGCAATGCTAGCGTTTTTGAAATGTGATTACTTTTGGTTTTCTGGGTAGCCCAGAGTGCTATCATGTGTTCTTATAAGAGCAAAGTAGAGGGAGATTGCTCAAAGAAAGGCGTCAGTGTGACCAGAGAGGTAGAGAGGGGAGAAATGCAGCCGCAGGCTAGGGACTGTCGGCAACCAGGCAAAACTGGAGGAGGCAAAGCACAGCTTCTCCCCTAGAGCCTCAAAAAGGGAGCCTGGCTCTGCTCACTCCTTGAGTTCTTACCTCCAGTCCCCAGAACCCTCGAGAACAAATGTCCAGTGTCTGTGGAAATTAGTTACTGTTGGCTCCGGAAACTAATACAGGATGACAGAACAAAATGAGAATGTGGGGCCAGACACCTTAAATAGGTGAGATTTAAGGGTGCTTTGTCATTTCTTAGAGCCAAGAAAGGCAGAATCCTGAATTTTAGATTTTGAAGTTGAATAAATCAGGTGTGAGTTACATTTCCATTACTTTCTAGCTCTGTGATTTTGAACTCATCAAAAACATTCACAGCTTATCTTAGTTTAACCTTGGGGCTGGCCTGGAGGCTGGGTGATCACCAGCAGGCCCTGCAGAGGCTGTGGCGAAAGGACTGGGCTTGATCAAGATCTATGCTGCTCTTTGTCATCAGGACCTGGTGCTTCAGAACCAAGTCAGAACAATGCCCGGGATAGAATACTCCTACCTCTCCCCGCCTTCGTATGGCACCAGATTTAGGAACCACTTTGGAGCGTTCAAAACCATCTAAGCAGGCTAGTTAGGCACACCTCTGTGTGTCAGGTGTGCTGAGATTCTCAAGGACCACCCTTTGTGGCACTGCATAGCTTATGTCAGGGCTCCGTGAGCAACTTAGCTTTTGATACTCAGCTCTGGACAACTTGGCTTTTTATTACTAAGCTCTCTGGCAGTCCCTCCAGATAACCTTAATTAGAGAGTAAGATGCTGGCCAGGATCCAGAGAGTCCATGAGGCATCACTGTGCCCATGTCGTGATGACTCCTTTCCTGGTCATAATATGCATACTTTCTTCAATCTCACCCAATGATGTCTTACGAACAAAATCAAGACAGGCAGAAACAAGCCTCACCATCCATGTACCTGAAGTTTCCAAACACCTACATACAGATCCAGCTTGTCTCCAAGACCCTAGATTGATCATTTTAGCTGCTTACTTCCAGTGGATTCTTAATACACAAAACTAGATGGGCAACACCCCCAAACAGGTCCTAATTGGCTTACCTTTTTGTCCTGACATGGAAAACAAGCTGTCCATTCTGACCAGTTGCTTAGTTGGCAGTCAACTGCTGTGGGGGTTGCAGCTCGACTGACTCTTCTAAGGGAGGAAAGATCCTTGCATCAGTTTTGAGATACAAAACTAAAATAAGAGTGTGGTTTGTAAGAAATGAAGAAAGACTATTTCTTGTACTCCCATTGAAGGATGATATGATACTGGAGGGTTGAAGTAAATTGTTGAGGCAGACAGTTAGCAAGGATAGGTTAGCCCAGCATGGCTCAAGCTGCACATCTCTGGCCCAACAAAGCAGTTGCCCACTCTGTCCTAGAAATTCCCTCTTTATGGTAAGCTTGTGTACTACAGGAAATGACCAGATTGGTTTTAGTTGCATGTACAGTAAGGCAAATACTGTTCTCAGAGTGAAGTTTGAGGGAAAAACCCCAATTTGCCATCTTATGCCTATACATGACTGGGTTTATATTTGAATAGAATTATGGGATACAGAACCCATGCCTGTACAAAGGGCCCATGTTTCCATTTTCAATAAAGAGTTATAAGAGCAGAAATCACAAAACACCACCCCTAGCATCCAACTCTGTCCCTCCATGAGCCACAAAAGGAAGCTGTGAAAGGCTCTTGAGCAATCGCACTTGAGCCTGCTGTTCCCTTGAAGGATGCCTGTCCTGTCCTTTGTTTCTGGATGAAATTCCTTGCTACTTTGCTACTTTGTGTGCACTTCAACTCTTCGAACAAGACACCAGGAACTTGGGATACAATCATTGCAGTCAATGTGTGCCACTATCCCTTTAAATCTATATGGATATTGGATAGATCAAATGAGTCTTGAGGAAGGATAACAAGTTTGTGTCATGAGCCAAAGAAGCAGAAACCTCAGTGGCTCAATACAATGAGGCCTGAGTTCAAGGACGGAGTTTGACTCTTCAGTACTTGCAGATCACTTAGCATCTCTGAGCTGTAGTCCTATTAGTAAACTATGTCAAAATTAGTATTACTTAACAGAGTCACTGAAAGGATGCTTATATAATATTTACTAAAAGTTGGCTTTAAGTGCTACATGCTGGGATAGTACCTAGACCATATCATTTAATCTATATAACAATTCTGGGAGATAATTATCATGTGCTCTGTTTTAAAGATAAGAAACATGAGATCATTTAATTTTTTTAAATATTTCATTTTATTTAATTAATTAATTAATTAATTAATTAATTTGGTCTTTTTGAGACAGAGTCTCCCTGTAGCCCCAGCTGTCCTGGAACTCACTATGTAGACCAGGCTGGCCATGAAC